TAGCACCCATAAAACCAAAAATATTTAATAAGAACTAGTTATAGTTAAAAAAACTTTCCAGACAAAATACTTACCCAATCATTGCTGTCTCTTTAACTTCAGCCTCTGTGCCATTTATAACTGAGTCCTGATTTTTGTCATCTTCCCTGTCAGTGACATCACTAGAAAAGCCCAACAAAGCTCGCACTCGTTTAGATTTCACATCTAGAATAGTATCTGTGTAACCCACCTCCTGTAGATACCTGTGTGAAGAAAATCCTTATAATTCATTCATACTAGAATCAGTATTCCATAATTTAATATGTAAATAGCAATATTTCTTTAAATTCATTGCCTACATAAGACTTAGTGCAGTACTATGCTAGTAAGACTTGTTAATAAATAATCTTCCAGCTGCAGATGGAGCTGTCTCTTGCAGTACCAGCCTCTACAGTCACTGAAAAAAATCAAAGAACTATACAATACACCATTCATCACATTTATCATAAGAGGAAGCTGTTCCTTAATATATCTAATAGCACATTCTTTCCTTTAGGCAGGATTGGAGCAAGCTCATTTCCAGATTCTACCAAATCACTATTTTATAATAGTGATTCCAGTAGTTTAAATATTTCTAATGTAAAGTGTCGTGGATCAGTTATTTGAGATTTACAAAGAACGTTTCTAGTACATATGGTTTCCTCTATGACATAGTGTTTTCCAGAGAGTCATCTCTACAGAAGGGAAGTTCTACCCTGAGACAATTCTAAAACAAAAATAGACCACAATTAAACTGTGGGATGTGGGGTGTGTGAGTACACACATGTGTGTATATACATGTATGTATGTGACAGAGAGGCAGCAACACAGAAAAAGGAGCATATGCTTTGTATTGAGAGTTGGATCTGAGTTTCAAGTCAATTTCTACCACTTACTTGCAGTATAACTTTAACTCTCCTGAACCTCAGTTTTCTTTCCCCTAAAACAGACACACCTAATACTGTATCTGGAATATGGAAAGCGCTCAATACCTATTAACACCAAAGGTGACCAAAAAAGACCAAAGTAGCAGTGGCAGGACCATGAAAAAGGCAAATGCCGTTAATAAACACAACAGACAAATGTTAGGCATTAACTTATAAGCAGGCACTGAGTCTACTAGATGAAAAACAAAAGTTGACAAGATAACCAGTTTAAGTTCAGTTTATGGTAAGATTTGCTCTTAACAGCATAGCTGAAAGAGATATCTCCCAAAGATAATATGTGATCAAGTGGAGTAAGTGTATCTTATTAAATCAAGATACTCATTTTTCAATCCCATCCAATATTTATAGAAAGGTCTTAATTAAAATTTGGAAAATAAATTCCCAACTTTGCTGAATTTAATCAGTTCTTACAAAGTACTACAAAGATGTTATGTTTTTCTATTTTTAAAAAATAATATTTGATACATACCTCATTTTGGCAATAAAAATCACATTACAATTATCTGTTTCAAAACTGCTCTTGCTATAGATTAGTTGATTTTACTAATTAGTTACTTCCTCATTCATTGATAAAATGGCACCTCTACTCTGAGGAGATTATGGGTCCTTTGAAGTTTTTGAAAATATCTCTTGGATAGCTCATTA